TCATCTCCCCTTTCAGAGCTGAGTGACAGGACAAGGGGAAATGGTTTCAAACAAAAGGAGGGGAGATGTAGACTGGAAATAAGGAAGAAGTTGTTTCCAATGAGGCGTTGGCATGGTTTGCCCAGAGATGTGGTGGGTGCCCCGCTCCTGGAAACGCTGTGGGTCAGAGGACAGGGCTCTGAGCACCTGATGGAGCTGTGGGTGTCCCTGTGCACTATGGGGAGCTGGGCTACACGGCCTTTAGAGGTCCCTTCAACTCCAACCATTGCATGATTGTGATCACTGCGTCCAGTGAGTATTGTGTTCTGTGAGCACTGTGTCCAGTTCTGGAGCCCCCAACACAAGAAGGACACGGAGCTGTTGGAGCAGGTCCAGAGGAGGTCATGGAGATGATCAGAGGGAGCAGCTCCCCTACAAGGACAGGCTAAAAGAGCTGGGTCTCTTCAGCCTGGAGAAGAGAAGACTCCGAGGAGACCTTACAGCAGCCCTGCAGTACCTGCAAGGACCTACAGGAAAGGGACATTTTATATGGGCAGGTAGTGGCGGGACCAGGGGAAATGTCCTAAACTGGAAGAGGGTAGATTTAGACTAGATATTAGGAGAAATTCAGTACTGTGAGGGTGGTGAGAGACTGGCACAGGTTGCCCAGTGAGGTTGTGGATGCCCCTCCCTGGAGGCAGTCAAGGCCAGGACAGATGGAGCTTCAAGCAATCTGGTCTAGCAGGAGGTGTCCCTGCCTATAGCAGGGGGTTGGGACTAGATGACCTTGAAGGTCCCTTCCAACCCAAATCACTCCATGATTCTATGATTCTGTGATGCTGTGACATCCCTAGAGCAGGCAGACCCTGGCACAGCTGCGGCTCTCTGCCCATCCTCTGCTGATGGCTCCCAACCTCCCCACTGGACGTCGCGGTGTGGCTGTGAGCGCTGTCCCTGCAGAGCCCATCCCCTTACCGGCTGCTCTCTGGGGTGGGTTTGGGGTACCCCTCCACAGCACCCTCCCAGACGGCGTTGGCCAACGCGTTGCCGATGGCGGCCATGAGGGTGAGCAGCTCGCCGGGCCAGTCGTCCAAGTCCAGCGAGCGCACGCGGGAGAGGTGCGTGCCCAGGTTGCGGTGGATCCCAGAGCACTCGATGCACATCAGGGCACCCAGGTTCAGGCTCGCCCAGTCAGGATCTGCAGGAGGTGACATCAGAGGGGCACAGCCAGCATGCGCACATCAGCCTGTTCCCCTCCCGTCACCCCACAGACCCTCCCAGGCATCCCAGTGGCACAGAAGCAAGGACCTCCAGGACCAGCAGGGCATTAGGGGACAATCCCGCAAGGCCCTTCCCTCCCCTAACGACTGGCTCCCCAAGGAGGGGACAGAGCAGCCCCGCAGCACAAATCCCCCCGCGGTCAAGGAGGTGGTGGCGTGCTGCCCCTGCCCACCCCTCCCGCCCCCCAGCACGGTGTTCCTTACTGGGCGCATCGCAGTCCACGCAGAAGCTGTTACCCCGCGCAGTGCGCACTGCCTGCATGGCCTGCGCATCTCCCTGGCTGCCCAGCCGTGCCTGCAACAACACCAGCAATACAACAATAGCAATCTCAGGTGGTCCCACAGCGTCCTCTGGGCCACCACCCCCAGGGTCACCACCCCGGAGCCATTGGGAGCCCCAGTGCCGTGCTGCAGGGGTGAACAGTGCAGGGTTCCTGAACACCAGACAGATCTGGAGGAAGCTGAGGGGCAGGGCTGGGGGCCAGGAGGAATAGGGCTCCCCGAGGGGTGGAGCAAGGTGACGGGGCTCTGTGGGGCACAGCCGAGCTGGGGAACGAACCCAGAGAGGTGACGTGAACACAGGGAAGGAGTGCCACAAGGACTGGGAGTAGAGGGCTGAGGATGCATTCAGCCCAGGGCAGGTGTGGATGCATCAAAGAGGTGCCAAAGAGGAGGGATGAGGCAGCATGCAGCTGCCCTTACCTTGTTCTTGCTGCTCTCACAGCCCTGCAGGCTGGCCAGGATCTGGCTCTCGATGGCCTGCACCCA